CACTAAATATTGTGAATAACATAGTGAGTTGTACCGATAGTGTGATCTCTAATTGTCTTAATAGTAGCAGTAGTCCCTTCTTGTTAGTAAAGCAACCCGATTACGTCTATCTTCCTGTAAATTTGACGCATTATTGGTATGCTGATAAAGGAATGGAAATTCTCCAAGAAACTTCTTTGCAATTAATAGAGAGATCTAAGCGAATGGTTGGATTAATAATAGCCGGAATAGCTGCGCTCATTGCTGCCATAGCAGTAACTACAGTAGCTTCTATTTCTTTAACAACTAGTATTCAGACAGCAGCTTATGTTAATGAATTATCAATTAATGTATCTAAAGCATTACAAAATCAAGCTACATGGGATGAAAAGATTGAACTGCATCTCAATTCCTTAAAGGATACAGTAGACATCCTGGGAAGACAGTTACAAATTATAGCTACTCATGAATCTCTCTTGTGTCATGCAGAATACCGAGCTATCTGTGTGACGCCTGTTGAATACAATAATACTAAGTTCTCTTGGAACAAAATACAAGATCATCTTCAAGGCATATGGAATAATGCGAACACGTCATTAGATCTTAGGGAATTGAGACAACACATTCACGATATGATACAATCACACCATATAGATCTTTCAGTAGCAACTCAAACTACTACATTTATAAGCGCTCTAAAATCTGCATTTCCGTCCTTCAAATCATTTAGAAAAGGAATTTATGGGCTGACAGTCATTGCAATAATAATAATCATAGGAATTCTTGCTTGTCCATGCTTGATGAAAATGATAACAAATAGATTCCAAAATTTGCGTATAAATTTTAAAAAATTGGAGATGGAAAACACAAAAAATAAACCACCACCACCTCTGGTCTAATAAAATAAAAAAGGGTGGACAGAGGAAGACTGTTAAGCAAAACAGACCTGGCTGGCCTGAAAGGGTCAAACAGGGAACACGCAGCCCCTCCTGAAAGGGAAGGACTGCCACGTGAAACATGCAGCCCCTCCTGAAAGGGAAGGACTGCCATGTGAAACTGGCAAGCATAAGTTACAGCTTCTTCGTTCCGTGACCAAGAGCAGAACGTGTTCTGTGGAGAGAACACCTTTTGATCACTGTACTGACCATAATCCACAAAGAGCTAATTAAGTAATGATGTATTGCTGTCAGCTGCATGAATGTTATCTGATTTAAGTATTGTATACTCCTGTAGCTAAAAGATATAAAAACCCTGTAACAACAATAAACTTTGCTTCTTGCGCCACCAGAGCCTAAGCCCGTCTGTCCCAGGCGTCTTGAGCTGGTCTCCGTCAGTCCCACTTTTCCTTTTTTTCCTCCCTCGTCCCCCTTTTCCTTTTGTCCTTCTCATGCACTTCCTGCTATCCCGCCTTTTCCCCACCTTCCCTCATCTCTTCTTGCACTCTTTGACCCCTTTTTCTCCTTCCATCCTTATTTCTCTTCACATTCTCCTGTTCTTTTTTCCCCTTTCCTCTTCTTCATCCCCAGCTCTGCTTCCCCCCCACCTCACGTCCCCTTTCTTCTGTCCCTGTACCCCATTTTTCCCTTTTTTTCCCAACCCCCTTTTTTTGTTCTCTGCTGTCCCCTATTCCCTTTTTCCTCTTTGCTCTCTCTCTCCTTTCTTTCCCCTCATCCTGTTACAGAAGAGACTGAAGGAATGATGGACAAGCTGGTGCAGGATGGCAGCAGCAGGGTGGAAGCCCAGGTGGGTGCGATGAAGCCGGGGGTGGGAGTGGGTGGAGCCCGAGCCCTGCCTGATCTCATTTAAGGGCTGGGAATGGCAGGGCTCAGATGTGTGCCTGGGCTTCTGGTGTCAGTGAGGTTGGGTGAGCAGTGAGGTTTGGGAGGGACCGACTTGTTGGCCTTGAGATTGATGCCCAGCTCCTTGCTCGTCACATTCTGTTCGGCTCGAGGTTCCGGACACGGCTTGCTCTTCTAAGCAGCGTGAGGACTGCGAGAAAGACTTTGTTGGATGCAGCAGGAAAGCACAGCCGCTGGTGGATGCCAGTGTCTGCTCCTGAGGCTGTGCGCCAAGGTACGTGGATCCCTGCCTTCTCCTGTTTCACACGCTCGCTCAGGTCCTTTGGGGCTTGGTGTCGCTTGTCCCTCGTGCTCCCGTTGCTGTCACCGCGTGTTGTTCCTTTCCCCATGCTCAGCTCTGCCCAGTGCTGATGGGATGCCAGTGCCACCTGCTGCTCTCCGCAAAAGGTAGGTTTGATTTCTTTTGGTTTCCATAGCATTTGCTACACTTTCATTCTGTCTCTCTTCTTTTTTTTTTTTTCTTTTTTTCTTTTTGCTCTCAATAAATGGCAGGTTAGATTCCTTTTGGCTCCTGTAGTATTTGCTACACGTGTGTTCTGTTTCTCTTCTCTTTTTTCCGTGTTGCCTGGCGGTGCCTCGCTAGAGTTCCCATGAGCCCCGGGCCCACTTGTGATCAAGTGAGGTGCCAAAAAAAGAGGTGTCTCCTAAACAGGCTTGTGCTGAGTGCTGTCCTCGTCTTGGGCTTTGTCCAATGCCCACCTTTCTTTTCTAGCCCACTTTGTTGAGGACGGCGTGTGAGGCTTTCTTCTTTCTTTGTAACACTGGGGACTCCAGCCCCAGAAGTAGCAGGCATTTTGGGATGTCCAAGGTTCCGCAGTGAACGTGTCCTGTTCCTGGTAAAGGTGTGGGCGTTCCTGGACATGAAGGTATCTATCTTCATGCCTTGCCCATGTGCCCAGTCCCCCACCAGATGCTGTTTGCCTTTTGGCCCCCCTGATTTGCTGCACTGCCGCGCCCTGATCCTTGCACAGGGGTAAGTGACACCTTTGTCCCTTCCAGAACGCGCTCTCCACTTTCCTCTCGTTGGTCATCGGCAGCACCGTCCTTCTCTCGCCAGGCTCTCATTGGTCACCAGCAGCGCCGTCCCACCCTCGCCAGCCTGTGATTGTTCACCACCAGCGCCGTCCCGCCCTCATGTGTCTCTCATTGGTGATCGACAGCACCGTCCCGCCCTATCAGCGTCTCATTGGTCATCGGCAGCGCTGTCCTGCCCCCACCAGTCTTTCATTGGTCATCAACAGCTCCATTCCTCCTCCGCGAACATCTCATTGGACAGCAGCAGCATTTTGCCCGCCTTTTCCCCCGCCTTTTCCCCCGCCTTTTGCCCCCGCCTTTTGCCCCCGCCTTTTGCCCCGCCTTTTGCCCCCGCCTTTTGCCCGCCTTTTGCCCGCCTTTTGCCCGCCTTTTGCCCGCCTTTTGCCCGCCTTTCTCTTCGCCTTCCCCTGGCCCTTTTTCCCCTTTCCTTTTCCTGCTTCTCATGTCCTGTTTTCTCTTTCCAGGTCCCCTTTTTACTCTTCCTTCCCCCCTTTTATCTCCCTCTTTTTTGCCCATTTTTCCCCCTCTTCTCCTCTCTCCGTTTCTCCTCCTCATCTCCTTTACTTTTTCCTCCCTTTCTCATTCTTCTTTTCCCCTTTCCCCTCTTGTCTTCCTTTCCCTTTGGCCCCCTTTACTCTCCTCTTCTTCGCCCCCTTCTTCTTCTTTTTGCCCCCATCCACACTTCCCCTTTCACCCCCTTTACCCCTTTTCCTCCCCATCTCCCTTTTCTCCCCGTCCCCCCTTTTTGTTTCCCTTTTCCTCTTTTTCTCCACCTTCCTTTCCCCCCCTTATGTTGGCCCCATTCCTTTTTCCTTCCCCATCGTCCCCTTTTCTTCCAAAGCCCATTCCATTCGCAGTGCGATAGCGGCTCCTGCGAGCAGCCGAGCCCCGAGCAGCAGCGCTGCGTCTTGGCTCCCCCATTGCCCGCTGCTGAGCTCTTCCTGCCCTGGCTCCTCATTGGCTGAGCGCTGCAGCTTCCCCTTTTGGGCGACGCTTCACCACTCACACAAACAGCCAGCAGACGCACATCTTTGCTGCCGAAACACACGCACGCCTTCATTGCTTCATTGCTTTCTCACCACTGCTCTTGTCCCGAACGTGCGCTCGGAACTTGCGGCTTTCAGGTTTTCAGCATCAACACAGACACAGCCTCTGAATTGCTTCATTACCCCCTGCCATTCGTGACCTTCCCGCTGCTCATCGTTCTGCTCATCTGGCCGATTTTCCGCAGGGCTGAGCTTGGCAGGAGGACAGAGGGGAGCAGCTGGGAGCCTCACAGCCTCCTTGCGTTCCCACGCAGCAGAACAGCGCTGCTGCGTGCGACGGCCCTGATTCCTCCCTCGTCCCCCTTTTCCTTTTTTTCCTCCCTCGTCCCCCTTTTCCTTTTTTTCCTCCCTCGTCTCCCTTTTCCTTTTGTCCTTCTCATGCACTTCCTGCTATCCCGCCTTTTCCCCGCCTTCCCTCATCTCTTCTTGCACTCTTTGACACTTTTCTCCCCTCATCCTTATTTCGCTTCACATTCTCCTGTTCTTTTTTCCCCTTTCTTCTTCTTCATTCCCAGCTCCGTTTCCCCCCACCTCACATCCCCTTTCTTCTGTCCCTGTACCCCATTTTTCCCTTTTTTTCCTCACCCCCTTTTTTTGTTCTCTGCTGTCCCCTATTCCCTTTTTCCTCTTTGCTCTCTCTCTCCTTTCTTTCCCCTCATCCTGTTACAGAAGAGACTGAAGGAATGATGGACAAGCTGGTGCAGGATGGCAGCAGCAGGGTGGAAGCCCAGGTGGGTGCGATGAAGCCGGGGGTGGGAGTGGGTGGAGCCCGAGCCCTGCCTGAGCTCATTTAAGGGCTGGGAATGGCAGGGCTCAGATGTGTGCCTGGGCTTCTGGTGTCTGTGAGGTTGGGTGAACAGTGAGGTTTGGGAGGGACCGACTTGTTGGCCTTGAGATTGATGCCCAGCTCCTTGCTCGTCACATTCTGTTCGGCTCGAGGTTCCGGACACGGCTTGCTCTTCTAAGCAGCGTGAGGACTGCGAGAAAGACTTTGTTGGATGCAGCAGGAAAGCACAGCCGCTGGTGGATGCCAGTGTCTGCTCCTGAGGCTGTGCGCCAAGGTACGTGGACCCCTGCCGTCTCCTGTTTCACACGCTCGCTCAGGTCCTTTGGGGCTTGGTGTCGCTTGTCCCTCGTGCTCCCGTTGCTGTCACCGCGTGTTGTTCCTTTCCCCATGCTCAGCTCTGCCCAGTGCTGATGGGATGCCAGTGCCACCTGCTGCTCTCAACAAAAGGTAGGTTTGATTTCTTTTGGTTTCCATAGCATTTGCTACACTTTCATTCTGTCTCTCTTCTTTGTTTTTTTTTTTTTTCTTTTTGCTCTCAATAAATGGCAGGTTCAATTCCTTTTGGCTCCTGTAGTATTTGCTACACTTGTGTTCTGTTTCTCCTCGCTTTTTTCCATGTTGCCTGGCGGTGCCTCGCTGGAGTTCCCATGAGCCCCGGGCCCACTTGTGATCAAGTGAGGTGCCAAAAAAAGAGGTGTCTCCTAAACAGGCTTGTGCTGAGTGCTGTCCTCGTCTTGGGCTTTGTCCAATGCCCACCTTTCTTTTCTAGCCCACTTTGTTGAGGACGGCGTGTGAGGCTTTCTTCTTTCTTTGTAACACTGGGGACTCCAGCCCCAGAAGTAGCAGGCATTTTGGGATGTCCAAGGTTCCGCAGTGAACGTGTCCTGTTCCTGGTAAAGGTGTGGGCGTTCCTGGACACGAAGGTATCTATCTTCATGCCTTGCCCATGTGCCCAGTCCCCCACCAGATGCTGTTTGCCTTTTGGCCCCCCTGATTTGCTGCACTGCCGCGCCCTGATCCTTGCAGAGGGGTAAGTGACACCTTTGTCCCTTCCAGAAAGCGCTCTCCACTTTCCTCTCGTTGGTCATCGGCAGCACCGTCCTTCTCTCGCCAGGCTCTCATTGGTCACCAGCAGCGCCGTCCCACCCTCGCCAGCCTGTGATTGTTCACCACCAGCGCCGTCCCGCCCTCATGTGTCTCTCATTGGTGATCGACAGCACCGTCCCGCCCTATCAGCGTCTCATTGGTCATCGGCAGCGCTGTCCTGCCCCCACCAGTCTTTCATTGGTCATCAACAGCTCCATTCCTCCTCCGCGAGCATCTCATTGGACAGCAGCAGCATTTCCCCCGCCTTTTCCCCCGCCTTTTGCCCGCCTTTTGCCCCCGCCTTTTGCCCGCCTATTCCCCGCCTATTCCCCGCCTTTTGCCCGCCTTTTGCCCGCCTTTCTCTTCGCCTTCCCCTAGCCCTTTTTCCCCTTTCCTTTTCCTGCTTCTCATGTCCTGTTTTTTCTTTCCAGGTCTCCTTTTTACTCTTCCTTCCCCCCTTTTATCTCCCTCTTTTTTGCCCATTTTTCCCCCTCTTCTCCTCTCTCCGTTTCTCCTCCTCATCTCCTTTACTTTTTCCTCCCTTTCTCATTCTTCTTTTCCCCTTTCCCCTCTTGTCTTCCTTTCCCTTTGGCCCCCTTTACTCTCCTCTTCTTCGGCCCCTTCTTCTTCTTTTTGCCCCCATCCACACTTCCCCTTTCACCCCCTTTACCCCTTTTCCTCCCCATCTCCCTTTTCTTCCCGTCCCCCCTTTTTGTTTTCCTTTTCCTCTTTTTCTCCCCCTTCCTTTCCCCCCCTTATGTCGTCCCCATTCCTTTTTCCTTCCCCATCGTCCCCTTTTCTTCCAAAGCCCATTCCATTCGCAGTGCGATAGCGGCTCCTGCGAGCAGCCGAGCCCTCAGCAGCAGCGCTGCGTCTTGGCTCCCCCATTGCCCGCTGCTGCGCTCTTCCTGCCCTGGCTCCTCATTGGCTGAGCGCTGCAGCTTCCCCTTTTTGGCAACGCTTCACCACTCGCACAAACAGCCAGCAGACGCACATCTTTGCCGCCCAAACACACGCAGGCCTTCATTGCTTCATTGCTTTCTCACCACTGCTCTTGTCCCGAACGTGCGCTCGGAACTTGCGGCTTTCAGGTTTTCAGCATCAACACAGACACAGCCTCTGAATTGCTTCATTAGCCCCTGCCATTCGTGACCTTCCCGCTGCTCATCGTACTGCTCATCTGGCCGATTTTCCGCAGGGCTGAGCTTGGCAGGAGGACAGAGGGGAGCAGCTGGGAGCCTCACAGCCTCCTTGCGTTCCCACACAGCAGGACAGCGCTGCTGCGTGCGACGGCCCTGATTCCTCCCTCGTCCCCCTTTTCCTTTTGTCCTTCTCATGCACTTCCTGCTATCCCGCCTTTTCCCCACCTTCCCTCATCTCTTCTTGCACTCTTTGACCCCTTTTTCTCCTTCCATCCTTATTTCTCTTCACATTCTCCTGTTCTTTTTTCCCCTTTCCTCTTCTTCGTCCCCAGCTCCGCTTCCCCCCACCTCACGTCCCCTTTCTTCTGTCCCTGTACCCCATTTTTCCCTTTTTTTTCCCTACCCCCCTTTTTTTGTTCTCTGCTGTCCCATATTCCCTTTTTCCTCTTTGCTCTCTCTCCCTTTCTTTCCCCTCATCCTGTTACAGAAGAGACTGAAGGAATGATGGAATGTTTTTCTTTTTGCTCTCAATAAATGGCAGGTTCAATTCCTTTTGGCTCCTGTAGTATTTGCTACACTTGTGTTCTGTTTCTCCTTGCTTTTTTCCATGTTGCCTGGCGGTGCCTTGCTGGAGTTCCCATGAGCCCCGGGCACACTTGTGAGCAATTGAGGTGCCAAAAACAGAGGTATCTCCTAAACAGGCTTCTGCTGAGTGCTGTCCTCGTCTTGGGCTTTGTCCAATGCCGACCTTTCTTTTCTAACCCACTTTGTTGAGGACGGCGTGTGAGGCTTTCTTCTTTCTTTGTAGGATTGGCGACTCCACCACCAGTAGTAGCAGGCGTTTTGGGATGTCCAAGGTTCCGCAGTGAGCGTGTCCTGTTCCTGGTAAAGGTGTGGGCGTTCCTGGACACGAAGGTATCTATCTTCATGCCTTGCCCATGTGCCCAGTCCCCCACCAGATGCTGTTTGCCTTTTGGCCCCCCTGATTTGCTGCACTGCTGCACCCTGATCCTTGCAGAGGGGTAAGGGACACCTTTGTCCCTTCCGGAAAGCGCTCTCCACTTTCCTCTCGTTGGTCATTGGCAGCACCGTCCCTCTCTCGCCAGGCTCTCATTGGTCACCGGCAACGCCGTCTTGCACCTCCAGCGTCTGATTGGTCACCGGTAGAGCAGTCCCGCCCCATGCGCCTCTCATTGGTCACCGGCAGCTCTGTCCCGCCCTCACCAGCCTGTGATTGGTCATCGGCAGTGCCCTCCTCCCCTCATGTGCCTCTCATTGGTCATCGCATCGCCGTCTCGCCCCATCAGCCTCTAACTGGTCATCGGCAGCAGCATCCTGTCCCTGCCAGCCTCTCATTGGTCATCGGCAGCACGGTCCCTCCCCCATGTGCCTCTCATTGGTCACTGGCAGCGCCACCCCACCTTTATGTGCCTATCAATGGTCATCGGCAGCGCTGTATAGCCCTCGCCAGTCTGTCATCGACAGCTCCGTCCCACATTCCTGTGTGTCTCATTGGTCATCAACAGCACTGTCCCGCCCCCTTGTGCCTATTATCGCTCATCGACAGCGCCCTCCCGCCCCATCAGCGTCTCATTGGCCATCGGCAGTGCCTTCCCGCCCCCGCCAGCCTCTCATTGGTCACCGGCAGCGCCGTCCCGCCCTCGTCAGCCTGTGATTGGTCACCGGCAGCGCCGTCCCGCCCTCATGTGCCTCTCATTTGTCATCGGCAGTGCTGTCCCGCCCTCATGTTCCTCTCATTGGTCACTGGCAGCGCTGTCCCCCATCGCCAGTCTTTCAGTGGTCATTGGCAATGCCGTCCCGCGTCCTCCAGCATCTCATTGGTCAGCAGCATCCTCTCCCCCGCCTCTCCTCCCAATTTCTCTTCCCCTTCCCCCAGCTCTTTTTCCCTATTACTTTTCCTTGTTCTCAATGGCCTGTTTTTTCCTTGCAAGTCTCCTTTTTACTGTCCATTCCCCCTTTTATCTCCCCGTTTTGGCCCCTTTTTCCCCCTGTTCTCCTATCTACTTTTATAATCCTCATCACCTTTTCTTTTTCCTCCCTTTCTCATTCTTCTTTTCCCCTTTCACCTCTTGTCTTCCTTTAGCTCCCTTCACTCTCCTCTTCTTTGCCCCCTTCTTCTTCTTCTGCACCTCATCCCCACTTCCCCTTTCAACCCCTTTACCGCTTTTCCTCCCCATCTCCCTTTTCACCCCGTCCCCCTTTTTTGTTTTCCTTTTCCTCTTTTTCACCCCCTTCCTTTCCTGTCCTGTTCCTGGTAAAGGTGTGGGCGTTCCCAGACGGGAAGGTATCTTCAAGGATTTGCGATGTGCCCAGTCCTCCAGCTGATACTGTTGGCATTCGGGGCTCCCCTGATGAGCAGCGGGAAGGGCACGAATGGCAGGGGGTAATGAAGCAATTCAGAGGCTGTGTCTGTGTTGATGCTGAAAACCTGAGGGCCGCAAGTTCCGACCGCACATTGGTTAAGAGAGCAGTGGTGAGAAAGCAATGAAGCAATGAAGGCGTGCGTGTGTTTGGGCAGCAATGATGTGCGTCTGCTGGCTGTTTGTGCGAGTGGTGAAGCGTTGCCAAAAAGGGGAAGCTGCAGCGCTCAGCCAATGAGGAGCCAGGGCAGGAAGAGCGCAGCAGCAGGCAATGGGGGAGCCAAGACGCAGCGCTGCTGCTGAGGGCTCGGCTGCTCGCAGGAGCCGCTATCGCACCGCGAAAGGAATGGGCTTTGGAAGAAAAGGGGACGATGAAAAAGGAAAAAGGAATGGGGCCGAGGGAGGGGGGGGGGGGTAAAAGGAAGGGGGAGAAAAAGAGGAAAAGGAAAACAAAAAAGGGGGACGGGGAGAAAAGGGAGATGGGGAGGAAAAGGGGTAACGGGGGTGAAAGGGGAAGTGGGGATGGGAGCAAAAAGAAGAAGAAGGGGGCGAAGAAGAGGAGATTAAAGGGGGCCAAAGGGAAAGGAAGACAAGAGGGGAAAGGGGAAAAGAAGAACGAGAAAGGGAGGAAAAAGAAAAGGAGATGAGGAGGAGAAACAGAGAGAGGAGAAGAGGGGGAAAAATGGGCAAAAAACAGGGAGATAAAAGGGGGAAGGGAGAGTAAAAAGCAGACCTGGAAGGAAAAAACAAGACATGAGAAGAAAGAAGAGGAAAGGGGAAAAGGGGCCGGGTGAAGGGGAAGAGAAAGGCGGGCAAAAGGCGGGCAAAAGGCGGGCAAAAGGCGGGCAAAAGGCGGGCAAAAGGCGGGCAAAAGGCGGGCAAAAGGCGGGCAAAAGGCGGGCAAAAGGCGGGCAAAAGGCGGGCAAAAGGCGGGCAAAAGGCGGGCAAAAGGCGGGCAAAAGGCGGGCAAAAGGCGGGCAAAAGGCGGGCAAAAGGCGGGCAAAAGGCGGGCAAAAGGCGGGCAAAAGGCGGGCAAAAGGCGGGCAAAAGGCGGGCAAACAGCTGCTGCTCTCCAATGAGATGCTGGCGGAGGCGGGATGGAGCTGTCGATGACCAATGAAAGACGGGCGAGGGCGGGACAGCGCTGCCGATGACCAATGGGAGGCACATGAAGGTGGGATGGCGCTGCCGAGGACCAGTGAGACGCTGGCGGGCGAGGGACGGCGCTGTTGGTGACCAATGAGAGCCTGGCGAGGGCGGGACGGTGCTGCCGATGACCAACGAGAGGAAAGTGGAGAGCGCTTTCCGGAAGGGACAAAGGTGTCCCTTACCCCTCTGCAAGGATCAGGGCGCAGCAGCGCAGCAAATCAGGAGGGCCAAAAGGCAAACAGCATCTGGTGGGGGACTGGGCACATGGGCAAGGCATGAAGATAGATACCTTCGTGTCCAGGAACACCCACACCTTTACCAGGAACAGGACACGCTCACTGCGGAACCTTGGATATCCCAAAATGCCTGCTATTTCTGGTGGTGGATTCCCCAATCTTAGAAAGAAAAAAGAAAGTCTCACACGCCGTCCTCAACAAAGTGGGTTAGAAAAGAAAGGTCGGCATTGCACAAAGCCCAAGACGAGGACAGCACTCAGCAGAAGCCTGTTCAGGAGATACCTCTGTTTGTGGCACCTCACTTGGTCACAAGTGTGCCCGGGGCTCATGGGAACTCCAGCAAGGCACCGCCAGGCAACATGGAAAAAAGCAAGGAGAAACAGAACACAAGTGTAGCAAATACTACAGGAGCCAAAAGGAATTGAACCTGCCATTTATTGAGAGCAAAAAGAAAAACAAAGAAGAGAGACAGAAGGAAAGTGTAGCAAATGCTATGGAAACCAAAAGAAATGACACCTACCTTTTATCGAGAGCAGCAGGTGGCACTGACACCCCATCAGCACTGGGCAGAGCCGGGCATGGGGAAAGGAAGAACATCCGGTGAAAGCAACGTGAACACGAGGGACAACAGACACCAAGCCCCAAAGGACCTCAGCGAGAGTGTGAAACAGGAGACGGCAGGGATCCGGGGGACTGGGCACATCCAGGAACGCCCACAACTTTACCAGGAATGTGACACGTTCACTGCAGAAGCTTGGGCAGCCCAAAATGCCTGCTGCATCTGGTGGAGGAGTCGCCAAGCCTAGAAAGAAAGAAGAAAGCTTCACACGCAGTGCTCAACAACGTGGCTTAGCAACAAAGGCTGGTCATTGTAGAAACCTTGAGTCAAGGACAGCACTCAGCAGAAGCCTCTTTAGGAGCCTACCTCTTCTGTTGCATCTCACTTGGTCAAAAGCGTGCACTGGCGTCCTGGGAACTCCAGCGAGGCGCCACCAGGCAACATGTAAGAAAGAGAAGAGAGACAGAATAAAAGTGTAGCAAATGCTATGGAAGCCAAAAGGAATCGAACCTACCTTTTATTGAGAGCAGCAGGTGGCACTGACATCCCATCAGCACTGGGCAGAGCCGGGCATGCGGACAGTATGAACTGACGAGGGCGGGACAGCGCTGCCGGTGACCAATGAGAGGCGCATGGGGCGAGACTGTGCTGCCGATGACCAATGAGACGCTGGAGGTGCAGGACGGTGCTGCCGTTCACCAATGAGACACTGGAGGGCCAGGACGCTCTGCCTATGACCAATCACAGGCTGGCGAGGGCGGGACGATGCAGTCGATGACCAATGACAGGCACATTAGGGCGGGACGGCGCTGCCGATGACCAATCACAGGCTGGACAGGGCGGGACGGCGCTGCCGATGACCAATGAGACGCTGATGGGGCAGGAGGGTGCTGTCGATGAGCGATAATAGGCACAAGGGGGTGGGACGGTGCTGTCGATCACCAATGAGAGACACATGAGGGCGGGAATGGCGCTGCCGATGACCAATCACAGGCTGGCGAGGGCGGGCCGGCGCTGCCGGTGAGCGATCACAGCCTGACGAGGGCGGGACGGCGCTGCTGATGACCAATCACAGGCTGGCGAGGGCGGGCCGGCACTGCCGGTGAGCGATCACAGCCTGACGAGGGCGGGATGGCGCTGCTGATGACCAATCACAGGCTGGCGAGGGCGGGACGGCGCTGCCGATGATCAATGAGAGGCACATGAGGGCGGGACGGCGCTGCCGATGACCAATCACAGGCTGGACAGGGTGGGACGGCGCTGCCGATGACCAATGAGACGCTGATGGGGCGGGAGGGTGCTGTCGATGAGCGATAATAGGCACAAGGGGGCGGGACGGTGCTGTCGATCACCAATGAGAGACACATGAGGGCGGGAATGGCGCTGCCGATGACCAATCACAGGCTGGCGAGGGCGGGCCGGCGCTGCCGGTGAGCGATCACAGACTGACGAGGGCGGGACGGCGCTGCTGATGACCAATCACAGGCTGGCGAGGGCGGGACGGCGCTGCCGATGATCAATGAGAGGCACATGAGGGCGGGACGGCGCTGGCGATGACCAATCACAGGCTGGACAGGGTGGGACGGCGCTGCCGATGACCAATGAGACGCTGATGGGGCGGGAGGGTGCTGTCGATGAGCAATAATAGGCACAAGGGGGCGGGACGGTGCTGTCGATCACCAATGAGAGACACATGAGGGCGGGAATGGCGCTGCCGATGACCAATCACAGGCTGGCGAGGGCGAGCCGGCGCTGCCGGTGACCGATCACAGCCTGACGAGGGCGGGACGGCGCTGCCGGTGACCAATCACAGGCTGGCGAGGGCGGGACGGTGCTGCCGATGACTAAGGAGAGGAAAGTGGAGAGTGCTTTCCGGAAGGGACAAAGGTGTCACTTACCCCTCTGCAAAGATAAGGTCGCAGCAGTGCAGCAAATCAGGAGGGCCAAAAGGCAAACAGCATCTGGTGGGGGACTGAGCACATGGGGAAGGCATGAAGATCGATACCTTCGTGTCCGGGAACGCCCACACCTTTACCAGGAACAGGACACGCTCACTGCGGAACCTTGGACATCCCAAAAAGCCTGCTATTTCTGGTGGTGGATTCCCCAATCTTAGAAAGAAAAAAGAAAGTCTCACACGCCGTCCTCAACAAAGTGGGTTAGAAAAGAAAGGTGGGCAGTGGACAAACCCCAAGATGAGGACAGCACTCAGCAGAAGCCTGTTTAGGAGATACCTCTTCTTTTCGCACCTCACTTGCTCACAAGTGGGCCCGGGGCACATGGGAACTCCAGCGAGGCACAGCCAGGCAACATGGAAAAAAGCGAGGAGAAACAGAACACAAGTGTAGCAAATACTACAGGAGCCAAAATGAATTCAACCTGCCATTTATTGAGAGCAAAAAGAAAAAAAGAAAAAAAGTAGAAAGACAGAATGAAAGTGTAG